AGCCACTTCCCTCTCAGTGACTCAGGGTCCTGTACATCCATAAAAGAAGTGCATTGCTGCAAAATGTTGGGTCTAAATGATTTCCATTGCTTTTTCAGCTCTGATTCCAAATAACTTTTAATAATGCTTAAGAATTATAGTGAAAGCAAACGTAATATTTAAGGAAAAAAAATGTTTTTACTTAAATGAAAGGCTTCCAGTAAAAGTTCATAGGAAGCACCAATAAAGGCTTATCTCTAAAGAAAGGTTTTGCCCACTGGGTTCACCAGATTGCCAAATAAGAAGAATTTTTTTGAGGGGGAAAGATAATGTTGTAATAGGATATTCTGGGCTAGACAATTTTCTTTCAATCAAGGCATTTATCTAAAAGAGGAGAACATCCATTCATTTATTGCATAAATTCTTATTGAGCACGTACTGTATGGCAGGCATTGAACTAGGTTGTGAGATTACAGCTGTAGACAAGACAGAGCACTCATTCTCATGGGACTTGCAATCTTGCCGGAGAGACAAAACTAAATACACAAGATAATTACAGATTGCAGTAACCACCGTAAAGGAAATAAAGAGAGGGTGTGCTCAAGAAGTTGGGAACTGATTTGCGTTATGGGAGGCAGGCAAGGCCTCTTGTAGGAGGTAGTATCCACCCTGAGATTTAAGGGATAAGAAGGAATGGGTCATCTAAAGAGTCAGGGGGAGAGCATTTCAGGAATATGGAAAGGTCCTGGGATGGGAAATTGAAAAGGAGACAATTTGTCAGGTGACCAGATAAATCGTTAGAGAGAGTTAAAAGGGTCTTGGACTAAGGTTGTACCAGTAGAAATAGAGAGAACTGAATAGGCTTGAGACATAGTGTTGAGATGGAAATGACAGGATTTGGTAATGGATTAAATGTAGAGAGTGAGGGAGAAGGAGAAATCAAGAAATATGTCTAGGTTTTTGGCTTAAGCAATTGAGGGGCTAGTGCCATATACTGAGATGGGGGACTATTAGGAAGAAGTAGGGTTTTTTTGGAGTGAAGAGTCAAGAATTCTGCCTTACATATACTGCATTGAAGAGGTCATTGAGGCATCACAGGGAAGATGTCAAGTAGGCAGTGGGACCCAAAAATCTGGAACTCAGGATAGAGGTCAGGGCTCAACCTAGCACTTGGTGTGAATAGTTGTTAGTGCATGAGAATAAGACCATCTTGGGCAGTAGTTCTCCATCATGGCTATACATTGCATCATGTGGTGAGCTTTTAAAAAATTGCCAGGCGCAGTGGGTCAAACCTGTAATCCTAGCACTTTGGGAGGCCGAAGTGAAAGAATTGCCTGAGCTCAGGGGTTTGAGACCAGTGTGGGCAACTTGGTGAGATCTCGTCTCTACAATAAATAAAAAAAATAAGCCGGGTATGGTAGTGCATGCCTGTAGTTTCAGCAACTTGGAAGGCTGAGGCAGAAGGATCACCTGAGTCCAGTGGGTCTAGGCTGTGGTAGCTGTGAGCATGCCATTGCACTCCAGCCTTGGTGACAGATGAGACTCCAACTCAAATAATAAAAATATAAATTTCCCAGTCTCACTTTCAAAAAATTCTGATTTAATTGGTCCAACATGGAGCCTGGACATCCATAGCTTTCAGAGTTCTCTTAGAATTTTCTTATCCAGCCATGGTGGAAGGACCACTGCTACAGGGAGAAAGTGCAGCTAAAGAAGAGAATCCAGGACTGAGCTTGTTTATAGAGCATCTGAAATAACTTTTCTTTCTTTATACTCTCCTCCTTTATATTCTTCCTGCTTGGAAGATCTTACTCTTTGGCTTTTTGGGGTAGGGTTAGTCCTCCCTGTGCCATGGCGGAGTACCTTGTCCTTGATTTAGTCAAGGTGTCCTTTGTCTCCTGTATTCTTGATTTCTGAAGGAATTACTTGGGTGCTGAGGATTTAAGTGCATTTCCTTTCAGCCCATTATTCGAGTGTTGCCCTGATGTGGTTTAGTGGTAGCGGGTATTTGTCATGGTTAAAAGATGAAGAACCTGTTCAACTTTTGCTCTTCAATGTACTGTAAGAATTTTGTTGTGGTTGCGGTGGTGGCTATGAAGGGCAGATAGCTGCAAGGAAAAATGCATATGGTTTTGTATATGTACATCTACAGATAGAAATGTTCCCTGCACTATTCTAGGGTGCCTGTAGATACTTGGTAGCTCTTTTCAAAAAGTCACTGTAACTTTTAAAATTTCACCTGCTCTTACATTTTTTATACTTAACAGTGCTCTTCTAAGTCTTTTATTCTTTTTTTATTCTAAAAGTCTTTTATTCTTGCCTAGAGCCTCCTATTACTCTTGAAAACACTAGGCTAAGAGAGAATAAAAATGTACTCACACATGCAGCACAGTGAGCTCACATCTCATGTAGCCTCTGAAATGAAAAGCCTGTAGAAAGGAGAGGCAAAGCTTATTAAATGTTCTTGTGATCCATGGCCCACAGAAAGTCCCAGTGTATAAAGAAACCATGCAAGATCATACAGCCCTTCTCTTACCCCTCATGGAACCTGCCATTCCCAAAATATGACCTATTAAAAAATAATTTCCAGGGACAATTCCATAGCTTTCTTGTTAATGTTTGCAGTTGTATCAACACCACACCAATACTTGTGTGTGTGTGTGTGTGTGTGTGTGTGTGTGTGTGTGTGTATGTGTAAAACAGACTCCATGGATCTAACTATGACAAGTACTACATAATTCTTTAATTGTGAAATTAGTTGGACCCAGCAAGATGTATTTATGGAAGTTTGGTGAGTTAGGTTGTAGTCTTTTGTTTAGGGTAATGAGCTATTTACCTTGTAATTGAATCCTTGCTGCTACTTCTGCTTATGTTGAAAACTAGCCTTGGCACCTCACTGGGCTTAGCTCTTAGGTGTCACTCTGTGCAATCTGGATATTTTCAGTCCTCCATAGCAGCTGGGAGAAGAGGGAAGAGAAAGCCAGAATGCCAGCATTGGTAGCACAACATGATGAATGGAAAGCTCAGTCAGCTCAGACAAGGACTATGTTCCAGTCCAGGCTGAGCCAGTCAAGAGCCGAGGGCCAAAGACTAGTTGTTCTACCTTTGCAGGCAATAGTCACTTCACCTAGTCTCTATGTAGGAATAGCTTATTAGCCAGGGTCTAGGAGCTGTCTTGGGCAATCTCTAAACGTCCTTTAGGGTTCTAAAATTGATTTGTAATCTGGATTCTAAGAAAACGTAAATGGTGGGGAAAATAACCATTAATGAACAGTGAATCGCCCCAGTTTTTTCTGATCATTTTTCTTTTCAGCCTCATCCCTCTGCTATAGCCCCAAACTTGCACTGGCAGGAAATAGGGTGGTGGGTGCATTTCAGTTAATGGGCTTAGTTGGAACATGTTTGGCCGTGGAGACAGCTACACTCATATTACCAAGCCTTGGCTTCCTGTCTGTTTTCTTTGGGCTGGGTAGGCAATGAAAAAGGAGACAGGAAAATACATTTTGGGGCAAATAAAATAAGGAATTCGTCTTACGAAGACAGCTTATAGTTGGGAAATTCTAATGTTCAACTTAACTTTCTCCTGATACATTCCTCTTGTCCTGTGTTAAGTGGAAGGTGAAATGTTTGCACTACCTATAGAGTAGTGAAGAACTCCCATTCTTGAAAGATTTTTTATAATCCTCCTTCAAAGTTTTCTTTTCTTTTATAGACCATAATCCTGATTCTCTTAGTTTCTCTTCAAAGGACAAAATCTTACCCAGTTATCATCTTAATGACTTTTCTTTGAATCAGCTTTGGTGGCTTAATGTTTTTACTAAAATGTTGGGGCAATATCCTAGGGCCTCACTGGTCCAGAATATGGAGGAAAGGACCCACAGTCTCTTTCTGTTTATATATTAGGCATTTATTTTTCTTCTGCAGCACCACTCTACAGATTTACACTTAACTATGTTGCACCCAGATTCAGCAGATGTTTTCTGTTATACTTGTACCAAGACACACTTGTACTTTTTTGTTAAGAATGATTTGATGACTTTTAAGAAGTCTTAGTTCCTTGGGTATATTTTAATTTGCATATTTCCTTAATATCCAGAATTTTCTTAGATTTTAGACTTAAATAAACAAGAAGAGTTTTTTTTTCAAATAATAAATTGTCACACATATGTTTACCCAAAGAGTATTTTTCATTTCTTTTACAAAACAACAGTAGATGTAAAATAAAAAGACATTCTCTCTTATTTAACAGAGTTTATTTTAATTTTTTTACTTTTTAATTTTAAATACGTGGGGTACAATTCAGGGTTAGGCATACAAATGTTCATTATGCAGGTACCCTTGTCGATGAGGCGTGCCCCCTTCTCCCCTTAACAGAGTTTATTGTATGCGTTCCAGGTTTAGCTTATCACAAAATATCCAGATTCCTCTTGAGAGTTTGAGTTTCCTTGCTTACATTTCTGTTGTTTTTTTATCTCTTATAGGGGTTTGAGGTTTGAGTTTTAATTTTTCAGAAAAGGTCTCAGTAAGGGGTAGTTGTAACATTAAAAAAGAAGTCACTGTGGTCATCGTGGAAATTTCCGTTTGACGAATGTGTTTGCCTGTTTCTGCTATAGCTTTGTGACAGGATATCTAACATGCATGAACTCTCTGAACATTCCAAGTAGGTTTCCTTCATCATGAAACATGCCAACATGCCCCAGTACACATTTCCCTTTCTATTTTTTTCACTGAGAGGGCTAGAGGAGATGCCTAGTGTCCCACCTCTCTACTGGTGCTTGACTCTGAGTTGTCCATTGAGACCCTCAGCTCTCCATTCATAGAACAGAACTGTGAAGGCTTGCCCCAGATACTGCTTATAAAGCAATTTGAAACAGAAGGCATTATATAGATACATCATCATAAATATCAGTATTGATAATTCCTTGGCTTAAACTCCCAGTATATATGTTCACATATCTATTTAGCATGGTCAATTGTTCAGCTAATTAATATGCTTTTATTTTATGATTTGCTGTTTCCAGGGCACAGACAGAAGCTTGATGACTCTAAACCTAGTTTGTTCTCTGACCGCCTCAGTGATTTAGGGCGCATTCCTCATCCCAGTATGAGAGTAGGTGTCCCGCCTCAGAACCCACGGCCCTCCCTGAACTCTGCACCAAGTCCTTTTAATCCACAAGGACAGAGTCAGATTACAGGTAAGACAGACTCCTAGGTTTCACTTGCACAGACGCTGGCAGACTGGGGGTGAGGGGCTACCGGATGAGACGTGGTCACATCAAAACTCCTGCAGCTGTGTAACAGCTTATTATTAAAGAATCAAGACTTGAAGATACCGGTTTCTTCTTTTTTTATTAAAAAATTGTGATATTTATTAATTTGGGGATACAATTTTGGGGGAAATTTCTGCTAATGCTGTACTACTGTACAGTAATGCCAGGCTACACACTGGTAAAATGGTAATAATGCACTTTGGGAGAATGTTTGTTGTAAGTCTCTATATTATATCCAGGTGGTGCAGGGAATAACATCACACCCTCACTATTAAAAAATTACTGTTACTGTTTCAGATTTGGGCTTACATTTCTTACATGTGTAACTGTGTCATTAAGTTTGCTTGCAAATTGCCCAGGGCTAAACAGGAAGCCTTGATTGGTACTTATAAGGCAAGCTCATCGGGCAGGCTGAATTCACTTCTCATTCGACATATCTCTTTATATGTTCTAGTAATCTGCTTACTTCAGCTGTCTTCTTAGAAATCCACATCAGCATTACATTACTCACTAGTCATTCACATTTGGTGAACTGGGATCCCCAACTCTTTTCCTTTTGCCCTAGTTGTGCAAAAACAGATCTTATTTTAGGACTGGTTTGATTGCTTTTAGGTTATGGTGACAAGAGAGTATGTTAATTATCACAGATCTTTAATTTGTATGTCAAAGGTATGAGAGTTGAAAGGGACTTTACATGTCATCTATTTGCTATCATTGGTAGAGGTGGACTAGAATAGAGGGAGGGTAAGCCAAGACAAAATGGATATTAAGCCCTCAGCATGGTCTCTGTTAATGGTTAGATTTTTGTCTATAGTGGTTAGGCTTGAGGGTCCTTAATGATCTCAAAACATAATTGTTTGTAAACTAAATGGCCTCTCCCTCTTGCTTTCTGACCCATGTTTTAAAACTGTCTTCTTAGATATAAACTTAGAGTAAGTTTCACTTTCCATGAGTATATGTATATTAGTCTGACTATATGGGTTTGCATGAGTATATATTTTAAAAAATAATATAGAATTATACAAATAAAATATCTAAATACTGAAGAGAATCACATATCAACATTAAAGAATATTAGCACTCTATGAAGAATGACCATGTTTTATATAAAGCCTATATAAAATGATACAAAACTTCAAATGTTGATATCTGGGGATCGAAAGATTAATGTGTTTGCTAGACATGTGTCCTTGATAAAAATGTAAGGGTAAATTTCACACTAACTTGTGAATTTGAGGCTTGTAAGCTGTCAGTGCTACTGCATTTAAAGTAGTGAACTTTTGATTATTCATTAAGGCTCATAATAGCTTTTCTTTTGTCTTTATAGTAATCCTTTGTGTCTCTCTGTGTGTATGTGTTTGTAGACACAAATGTATGTATATAAAAAGTGTTTATATATGAGTTGTAGTGGACTTATGATGACATAAACATATACATATATAAATATACATTTTATGATTTGGCCATCACTGGCTTTCTCAAATGTTTGATTTCTGTATTCTTTAACTATTTGCTTATTTATGTATTTATTTTTTGTTTGAGTTGGAGTCTCACTCTGTCGCCCAGACTGGAGTGCAGTGGCTGCTCCCAGCCACCGCAGCCTCAACCTGCTGGACTCTGGCGATCCTTCCGCCTCAGCCTTCCGAGTAGACGGAATTACAGGCGCGTGCTACCACGCCCGGCTGATTTTTTGATTTATTGTAGAGATGAGGTCTCTCTGCCCTGGCGGGTCTCGAACCTGCGGGCTCAGACAATCCACTCCCTTCAGCCTCCCAAAGGTGCGGGATTACAGGCTGAGCCACCGAGCCAGCTTATTTGCTTATTTTGTTATGTTGATGACTAATGCTTTCAAAATGGCCTTTGGAACCTGCACATTGCTAGAATCACTTAAGAAGATGCTTCTTTCAAGCCTTTGTCCTTAAATCTAAAGATGGGATCATAAAACAGATCCAGAGGACATTTTAGAACCTAAAGTTATCGTAGGTATTATAAAACCAAAGGCTGGAAAAAGTGTGAAGAGGATATACATTTTAGTAGCAGACCACCAATCAGATATGAGTGCAGAGAACAAGGCTCTGAGAACATGTGGGGCAAGTCGATGCTGATGGAACATGTGAGCAGATCAGGAGTGTGGATGCCTCCACAGACCTGGCTCTCCTCTGGTTGTCAGCTTCACTGTCTTATCTCTTGGAAGGCTCAGGAAAGTTAAATTTATCTGCAGTTGTACGCAAGTTAATGGTAGGGCAGTGAATATAGTCACTGGGTATGTTTCTAAAAATGAAAATATAAAACAGGCCAGGTGCAGTGGCTCACGCCTGGAATTCCAGCACTTTGGGAGGCCAAGGAAGAAGGATTGCTTGAGCCCGGGAGTTCGAGACATAGTGAGTCCCCCATTTATACAAAATAAATAAATAAATTAGCCCGGCATGGTGGTGTGTGCCTATAGTCCCAGCTACTCGGGAGGCTGAGGTGGGAGAATTGTCTGATCCAGAGTTTGAGGCTGCAGTGAGTTGTGGCAGTGCCACTGCATTCCAGCCTGGGTGACAGAGCAAGACACTGTCTCAAAAAAGAAAATATAAAACAAGTTTATTTCTAGATACTGATAGTTTCTTAGAATTTTTATATTGTAAGAGTATTAGCTCTCTTTATTTTGGGATTATAATACTCGTAGAATTGATTTATAGATCAGTCTTCTTCCTCTTTTTCAACATCTACAGGTTATTGGATGCAACAACTTTTCCCAAACGTTCTAAATTTCCAAATGTACACATACATACATTCCACCCCTACCCATTCTTGGGCATATTGTTAGTGAGTTAACACAGGTACTGCTCATAACCAAGGATGTACAGAGTTCTACAATGACCTAAAAAAAGCCCAAGAACACCTGGTGCAGCAGCAATGTGAGAGTGAAGTGAATAGATTTAATTTTGTAATCTCTGGATTAATGTTCTTGTTTATTCAATAAGTCTGATTTAGGGCCTACCACATGTAGAGAATTGGGTCTTAGGTAAAATGGGGGAGAGAAGAAAAGTATTGTCCTTGAGTTGAAGTCTAGTTGAAGAGCTAGTTATCCTTCCCAGCCTTGGCACACAACATCCTGTGCCCCCAACCAGAATGTTGTTCCTGAGCACATGTTCTTCTCTTTGGATTCCTTTACTTAGGCTATTCCATCTATGGTAGTCACTGTCTACTGACAAGATGCCACCCATCCGTCAAGGTCACTGTGTTATCTTCTTCAGGAACCTTCATCCAAAGACTGCATATCCATCCTCTAAACTTTAGTTGATATTGCCTTATTGTATAATTTACCTTCTCTACCCTGCTAGACTGTGAATTCTTTGAGGATTTATTACAGGGATTTATTTTCTTTTGTTACTAGCACAGTGGTAATGTCAAATTAACGAACGTTCAGATGAGAAGAAATCAGTGCAAGAAAAGCTGAGATATCATGCCTTTCTTATTAGCATGAACTCTTCTTTCTAATTTCCTGTCCCAGGGTGCCATTGTTCTCTGGTGATGAACAATAACACCTTACGTCACATTTCAATGAAACACTTAACTTAGTTAAACCATCTGGGTTTACTCCAGTTTAGGGTCGACAGAATTGCATAATTCCATTTAAATTCTTGAGCCTCGCCTGTAATGGATTTTGTAACTTCTTTGCGATATGCCACATCTGCATTTAACTCATGTAATCCTTTGGACAAAGATACTTGGAACTGGAAGGGCCCAGCTACCTCTCACTGGCTTGACACTCTCGATATCTCAAGCTCTTGCCCCGACACTATAGATAATGATCATAGTTATATAGTTTCCACCAGTTCTGCCACTTGCCAATATAAAAGGCAGAAGACTTCTTCAGACTCCCAGAAGAGGAGAATGAAATGAACGGTCGTACATTGAGGAAGTCATAAGCATTTAGTCTCCCACAATTAGCCTTTTCCAATGTCTCTTGCAATTCCTAAGGCCAAAGGGTCTAGTTGTGTAGCGGGCTGGCATCTTTGCAGCGCCAGGCTGAGGGTGATACTATGTGGAAGTCTTTAATGACTGATGTTCAGCCTAAGGGCCCAGGGCCTCCCATGGCTTCCTGAGGAAGTTGCTTCCTCTGGACCTCTTTTTATCATTTGGACATCTGCTGCCTGTCTTTAGGTGCCAGGAAACATCCAGTCTCCCACAAATGTTCACTTCTTTTAACTCAGTGTGTTGATAGCCGTAGAGTAAGGATACAATGTTATGATATCTCTCTCAAGATATTTTTAAATTCATTATCCTCTAGATGGGCCAGCTACACCTAAAAATATTATACTAATTCAGTCCCTTGGATTTAGTGGATTGGGACATTCATCTTATCTTTGGGGTGGGTCATTTACTATTGGTCTGTTATTCAATCATTCAAAAAATACTTTTCAAATGCTCTCTGCAAGGCATAAATGCAAGTGAAGAAGATAGACAGTTTCTGCTCACATTTTAGTGACAGATATAATCAATAAATGGGTAAATACAAATACATATAAGATCATCTCAGACAGACAATAATAAAAGTGCTATGAGAAAATAAAATAGGGTCATTGATAGAGAGCATCCGGTGGAGGGGAGGAGCTAATTTTGACTTGAAGGTTGAGAAAGAGTTCTTTGAAAAGTTTTGAAGATTTGTGAGGAACAACATTTCAGGCAGTGGGAATCCCATGCAAAGGCACGGAAAGGCAGACAAGAGCTAGATTATGGAGAATCTTGAAGGTCACGATGAGGTGCATGGGTTTTATTCTGATCGCAGTGGGGTGCTATTGGAGGTGTGAAGCAAGGTAATGACATTACCTAATTTACACTTTAAATAAATAAATGCAAGTGTTTAAATAAATAAATAAAACTTGTTTGGAGACTGTGTGAAGACTGGACCATAAGGAGGCAAAGAAAGAAGGAGG